TTTTTGCACAGACTTAAAAAGAAAAGATAAAAAAAAACAGTCCACCCACAGCCAGTATTCACCAAGATCAGGGTATTTCCACTTACTACAAAAGGAAAGCATTATTCAGTTCATCTTCAAGTATGGAATCTGTAACAGAGACCTGAAAAATCATTATCTTGCAAGACAGCCAATTTGTGTCTAAGAAAGGATTATGAGGAAGAACTATTATTTTGGGATTGTATGGCTTTGTTTGGAGAGGGAATGGAGAAGGGACAGTTCTGAAAATAACGTATAAAGCCTTTTTACTTTGGCCTACATACAGTTTTGATGTTCCTTATTAAAACCATTTTTATATAACTAAGGTAGATGTAATAATGGAAAATGCTGAATTATCTGAATCTGGTTCCATTGCACATGGATGAAAAGAGACAGAACATAAATGAAAAGTATTATGTCAAGATTTTATTTTATTTATAGTTAAATGACAACACCGTTTTTTTTCTATCCTAGGTTTTCAAGTAAAATAGAAGACTTTCCACGGTATTCAATGTGCTCGTTATTAAGTGAAAAACAATATCTATTTGGTTAGAGAACTAAACAGAATTTTTGTTTTCAAAGACAGAAACAGAAGACACTAGAGACTATATAACCTTGAAGCATTTGTTGTATTATTGTCTTATTGTTTTCATAGTCAAATTATCTAAAAGCATCTTTATTAAAAGCCAGATGATTAGGGCACAGGGGCTTTATTGAGCTTGGTAATGTTTACGTGATTACTTAATACCTAAAGAAGACTTAAATTCAGTATTCATTAAAAATGTACTTTTAAAGGATTAAATAAACATCCAACTCCCCAGTTCAGCATTTATTTTATAATCTTATCTTAAAAAATTAGATTACATAAATTTAGTAAATATTAATTTTCAATCTGAATAGGTACATTTTTTTCCTTTTCTAATTGCACAATTTCTCATGCACCTACACAATGGGAACAAAAGATGATGGTGAAAAATATCAAAAGCAAAAAGGAAAATCCTTACATAACATGGGCCACTGAAAAGGTGTTGTGTTATGCCTAAACTTTCAGAATATCTATTAAATAATTTTAGACAAATGGCTGTGATAAATATCCATGCAGTGATGATGAGGTAGAATGCTGATATTCCTCTTTTGGAACAGCTTTGATGCCTGTATCTCCAAATGAACTTGTATTAACATAACAGAGATGATTATGTAAGGAACACATTTAAGAAGAATATGTAGAAGTTCTATGTGTTTATTAGAGTACAGTTTTCAAGGGGGCAAAGTGTCATTTAGAGCGCAATGTTTTCTTCTTCATCAGGTTCTGTAAGGTTCTTATAATGTGTGTCAAAATAATGTGATGCATTCTGACAAGCTGTGGATCCTACTTTGTAGAGAAGTGAATCTATTTAGTTTATTAAATAGAGCAGTGGTGATTCAGATTTTACTAAGCATATTTTCACATCCAGTAATAAATTAAAATAGTTACTTTTGCAAAAAGGTTTATGTTGTAACATGTTAAAGAAACATGCGTCACAAAGAGAAAACACATTTATTGCCAGTTGCAAGGCATGTGGAAGTGGCCATATGTACACTCAGCTGGGTCTGTTTTTCTAAATGAAAATGCTTCCAGGGATAGCACAGTGGTTGAAAGCACTGACTCTGGAAGAGACCCCCGGCGACAGAACCCTGTTTCTTTCCTGTATGTAACTTAGGACCTCCTGGGCAACTACGAAACTCTTTGCTTCATTTCCTTCATTGGTAAAATGGGGATAATCATTAAAATGCCTACCACATGGGGATGTTATGGAAATAAAATTAAATATAAAGTGCTTAGCACAATATCTAGAGCACAGTTTGCATTCAAAGACTGTTAGTATGACTAGTAAGTTAATATCTCTCATAGTTTTAAAAAATGAAAGAATAGTGAACACAGTGTTTAAAACAGTGAATAAATAATCCCTACCTTAAATTTTTCAAAAATGTTAAACATTTTAAAAATTGATTGCTCATTTTAGTAATAAAAATATTACCTTTCTCTTAATTAGACATCATATAAAGATAAATATGAGGCAATCTAGATGCATGTAAGACTGTAATAAACTTTGAAATATTTTCACAAATTTCAGGCTTAACCAGGATTTTGTTTTAATGGTAAAGCTGATTTATTGACTGATTTATTGACGAAGTAGAGGAAAATGATTAGGTGGTTCTTAGTCTGAGACAAAATTGGTAAATGTCCTATGGGGAAATAAAACCATAACCTCTAAAGTAATGTTCTCTTCTTGACATTTGCATCTCTGTAGGACAGAGATTTCTTTCTAGCTTTACTGAAATAAATTGACATATAACAGTGTATAAGTTTAACGTATACAGCATAATGATTTGAAATGTGTATATATACTGCAAAACTATTACCACAATAAGGTTAGTTAATATATTCAAAACCTCACAGTTACATTTTCTTTGTTTTTTTTTTTGGGGGGGGTGCTGAGAACTTTTAAAACATACTTCTTAGCAACTTCAAATATACAATACAGTATTGTTAACTATAGGCAGCAAGACGTATCTGGTTTGGACAGGGAGGAGAAATGGAGAGTTGGAATCATTATGACATTTTTTAAACATCAAAACAAATCCTTTAAGAACCCTCATACACAGTTGGCTGGACTGTAAATTGGTATAGCTGCTATGGAAAACAATATGGAGGTTTCTCAAAAAATTAGGGACAGAATTACCATATGACCCAGCAATCCCTCTTCCGGCTATCCACCCTAAACATCTGAAAACTTTAATCTGTAAAGATATATGTGCTCCGATGTTCATTGCAGCAGTTGAGAACCATATGATTTCACTCATATGTGGGATATAAAACTGAAGGCAACGAAGGAACAAGGCAGCAAATAAAGGAACAAAACTCATAGACACAGCAGTTTAGTGGTTATTAGAGGGGAAGGGGGAAACAGAATGGTAAAAGAAGGTAAAGGGGGTCAAATATATGGTGGTGGAAGGAGAACTGACTCTGGTTGGTGAACACATAATGCAATATAATAGATGATGTGTTATAGAACTGTACGCTTGAAACCTATGCAGATTTGTTGACCATTGTAACCTCAATAAACTTTAATAATAAAAAAACTTTTTAAATTACATTATAGATGTCTGATTACTGGAATACCTAGAAGAGCTATAATTGCCATATATGAGAACAGACTGAGTGGGGAAAAGAAAAGCAGGTATATATAAGTTGAAATTATATAGGGTTATTATGAGGAGTTGTAAAAGCATTATCTATGTCAGAATAAACAGGGAAATAATACCATATCCAGAACACTGGTTTACCTGATTGTCTTTTCAAAAGCATTACCTACTAGCTTCATTTAGAGTTGCCTTACTGTATTCTGAGGCACATACTTTTGCACTGTATGCCCATATTAACCCTGAAAGTTAGGTAGAAAATTTGCATATTGGAAAATTAAAATTTATAAAAACTAATAATTTGCCTAAGGTCATATGACCTTTAACTGGAAAAGATAGACCAAGAATTTAAGCACAAAGTTACTGGATCAGAGTTACTGCTTTTAGCACAAACTGAACTCATCAGGTCTTCACCCCTTATTTCAATGTTCATTAGGCTTTCAACTGTTCTCTGTCAATGCTGCTCACAACAGCCACTCCACAGTGATGTAGCTAGACTAGAATGTAAACCTTCCTTCTTCCTTCTTCCTTCTTCAAGACACACACACACACACATGCCCCTATCTATTATCTATATATCTATCTATACATATAAATAATAGATACATATATAGATATATTGGGTTGCCAGAAAAGTCGTGACACATTTTTGCAACGAAAAGCAGAAAAATATGTCATGACTTTTCTGACAACCCAATAGATAGATATACAGATATAGATATAGAATAGACAGGATAAATACCTATCTTCCTATGTAATACAATATAATATGTGTATGTATGTATAAACATATATTATATATTTATATATGTATAGGTTATATTCAATTGAATTGAACTGTGATTAACAATGTAAATTATTCATTAGCAAACTGGCCAGTTGGTTGGTTTCCTGTTTCTGTATAGAGTTTTACTGAAATACTGCCACACCTATTCATTTACATATTCTCTGTATCTACTTTAGCACCATAAAGTTGTGTAGTTGTGACAGAGGCAATATGGTCCATAAAGCTTCAGATATTTACCATCTGGCGCTTCAAGAAATGCAGTGGAAGAGTGAGAAGACTCAGGATCATTTTGTCTTTCAGGCGTGCACTGGGGTGAGGGCGTGGGGGTAACGCTTTTTCCAGTGGTGTAACCACCCAGGTCTTACTCTTCTGAACCCTGATTTTTCCCGGTTGCTAAGGGGTGCTATCCTCAAAGGATAAGGGGAAGGCACTGGGATTTTACCATTCTAGAGACCCTAAATATCTGCTGTAAGGGTTCTTCAGAATCAGCATGCTGTCCCACTAACATTTCAATTGGAACCCAGAGCAAAGAAAGAGAATGGGCCTGACTGAAAGGAATCGCATTCTTCTCTCTTCAAAGCTTAGGTTGCTTTGAGGATCCAAACAGAGACAGATAGTTTCATTCTTTTCTAATGTTCCCTGCCCCCCCCCACCAAGGCAATTCACCAACTCCATTTTACATTTCAAAAAGATTATAAATAACACTGAAACTTATGCAAATCATTCTAACAATTCCAGTTCAATTAATAACTACTAGAAAATAAGTTATTGTTCCTCCAGGATAAAGTTCATAAGAGTTAAACTGTCTCTATGGTAGCAAATGTGCTTGAAGAAAGTTTTCAAAATATTACTCAGTTCTCTTTTTCACTGAATCTATTATTCAACCGGATTGTTTCAAACAATGAGCTATTTTGAAACCCCTTGATATGCATATTTTAGGCAAGTATAAAGCATACAGTTTTCAAATGTATCATGTTTAAATTTATAATCAAGACATTCTCAATTAACTTACATGTCTCTGAGATCCATCATATTCACACCTTTCAATTTTTCCTAGGCTGCCATCTGAAAAATACAGCTTCTCTGCCCGGTGGTCAATGGTGAGTCCATTTGGAGTGAGAATGTCTGTACTGACCACCACTTGAGCATTTTTCCCAGTCAGGGTAGATCTCATGATACTTGGATGCTGTTCATTCCAGTTGGTCCAAAACATTAAGCTAATTAAAATGAAAATTGTAAAAATAAGTTAAAATTTTCATTAACAGTAAAAAAAAGAAACACTAGTAGAAACATGACAATGTCAACTTTTTTTTTTTTTTTAAAGAAAAGTATTTGTCTCATATTCCATGATCCTTAAGGAAGTCTAGGTAATCAGGGGTGATATGTATATTATATTTAAATGTATATTTTTTCCTGTTTCTTAAGTGAAGCCGGGAAACTATTCCTGAAAAACAATTATCCTGGATAGTCTTTCAAAAATTTAATTAAACTGAGTCCATTTGGTGCATAATGAAGTGTTATTGTAATCAGATACAAAACAGTTATCTTAAATTTTCCATGCATTGCAAATATACTCTAACTTATTAATATCATGCTTCAGAAGATACAGTATGATCATTTTGGACATCATTCTTACACACTAACTATATTTATTTTCGTCAGCTGGTAAAGATAAAAATCTCCTCCTTCCAAGTTTGCTTTTTAAATTCTCCTTTGTGTATGCTTTAGAAACAATTACTAGACACCTATATTTATTTAATATCTTTTTTTTCACACCTCTTTTTGTCAGTGCAATTTTTCTATAAATTATAATGTTGTTTCCGGAATTCCACGGGTTACTACCAAATCTTTAAACATAATATTTGTTATTTACAGATTTTATAGAATGCTTTAAATCGATGTTTGTCAAACTATTCTTTGAGGAAGACATAGGATTCCAAGGAAGCCCTTAGAAGTCACTGGAAGAATGGAGAGGCTGCAGGGTTCCAATCGTCAAGCCCTATTTTTATTGAAATAGCTCATCTTTCTCCTCTTTTATCTATAGGACTTTCCCTAAGAATTTATTTGAAGATCAGATGTTGCCGCTTAGGAAGGAAGAGAGGAAGGAAGGAAGGTAGGGAGGAAGGGAGGGAGGGAGGCTGACTGGGAGGCTGCTTTAAATATTTGAAAAAAATATGCTTAATAAGTTCAGACAAAGAAAAGCTGTTTGAAATAATAATTCATATTTACAACAAGACTGTATATATAATTTCTACATATAATCATTTCAAGGCACTGTAGGATTATAGAAAGGATAATGGTCCCATGTTTTTCCTGAGTATTATGCAAAAACTTTATACTGGATAATATTGAAGTTCATAACAAAAATCTTTCTACTTGCTAATTTAAAAAATAACCTCCACCAATTGCAGAAATCTGGGTCATCTATGCTCTTTGTTCAACTAGTTAATAGCATTTTCATCTATTATATGAAATATAAAGTATTCTAAGTGAGCATCAACAATGTTTTGTCCTATGAATCAGTAAATTTGCAAAAATAACAGGATTCCACTTTCTTAAATATACTCTAGTTTTATCTATATACTATGGCATTTAAAATTAAATATTCAGTTAAAACATTTAAAAAGTTATGCATATAATATGAGGTATGAAATATAAATAATTTATCTGCAATCTTTTCCTAGATTGTTGGCTTTAGAGTTATTGAATTCCAGAGGTATTGGTGTTCCTTTAATTTCGCCTTTCATTTCACAGATGAGCAAACACAGACCAGAGAACTTGAGTAATGAAAGTTATAGCAACTGAGCAAAGTTTTGAACTCAAGTACTTTAACTTTCATCTAGAATTTAAGATTGTATTTTAAAATTTCTGTTAATTGACTAGCATACAAAAGTGAGCTGAAGTTGTCATTGTATATGTATAAAGATAAAAATATTTTCCATACTTTAAATTTTAACTACATATAATTTCCCAATCAAAATATTTGGGTGTGTTTAATTCGAATTTAAATTTCACTGTATGCAAGATGAAAGTGTAATTTTAGCCTCTGTAATAAATCATTATAGGATAAAGCACTTATCAATGAAAACTAATCATATATAGTATCATCAGTGATCAATCACCCTCATGTTTGCTACAAAATTATTTTATAAATTCCTTTGATAAACTATATAAGATTTGTTATTGTCCTAAGATTCTTCAGGTTTACGGTCAGGATCAATGCAGCTGATTTAAGTACAAGCTGACTGAGCATTGGTATGAGCAGAACTAGCTCTGCCCAGACATCTGAAGGCCTGTGTCCATCTGAACTAAGTCATCAGAGCTGTAAGGAGGAGACAACCTTCTCTCAACCTTCACCTCTCAAACTTCAGAGACTTCACTTATAAAATGAAGGTATTCAATGAAGTGAATTAAGTGCAATCACATTTCTTGCTGTATAAGAGTGTTCCAATTTAATTATTTTCATACTGAGTAATTTATGTAGTCCTTTCTTTTCAAATGGCTATGGTCTATTTTTATCAGTCATTGTTTTTTATTCTTCAATTTTTGTTCTCACCTAAAATAAGCTCTTCTATTTGTGCTCAGTGGAAGGCAGATTGGTCTAATTTTTGTTCACTTGTTTCATTTAAGGATAAAAGGATTTTCTAGTAGTTAACAAATACTCTTACCATATTGTACGAAACTTTCTTCTCTACTTAACCCAAGCTTTGTTCTTCAGTTTTCATATAATTGCTTTCTTTATTTTATCCCCCCAAAAAATGATTTTTTTTCTACTTTGTTTTATTTTTTATTCATTCTATACTATGGCCTAAGCATTTTCTCTTGCTTTGAATTCTTCATAAGTATTATTATAAATGACTGCACAATATATCATCAAACAGATGTGGACTACTTAGAATGTTATCAAGTAGCTAACATTGAAAATATAGCTGCACATGAAGATTTGTTGTTTTGTTTTCTTGTATTTTAATCAGAGAGTTCCCCAGTTGTTAAAATTGCTAAATCAAATGACAGAAACTCCTTTTAGTTTTCAACACATGTTAATAGTCTGTTTTTAATTTTTTTTTCAAATTGATCATTTCAATCAACTATGCCTAATGTCTTCTTTATATACCTTTCCAGTACAGTACTGTCTCCATTTTCCCTTTCATTATTTAAATTTTCTCTTACTGGATCATAGAGGTGATACCTGACATTTAAAGAGTCTATACTTTAATTATTTCTATTTATAAGGCTTTTATAAAAATAGTCCTATGAATTGTGAAAAGAAATTCAAAAGAAACTTATTTTAAATAAGTTAATTCACTTTAAAATTAACACAACTTTCATAGTCTTTGACCTATGATTATAATGAAGAAATAAAAAAGAACTGGTTTTTTTTTGTTGTTTACTTTTGGCATTCATCCAGGGTTAGAACATGTGGATGGTCATCTTCTGACATGGTTATGACAGCTTCCCTGTCAAATGCTCCCGGCCGAGTCTGGTCCACTGTGTGTCTGGTGATGGATGAGGTAGTGGAACTGGTCCAGTACAGTGTATCCCAGGCTCTGTGATAGGCAAGTCCTTCGACAGAACCCACATCTGATTGGGAAAGGAAAGAACAAATTTATAGTTTTATCTACAAAAGACTTGTCTTCTGGACAGAAAAAGCATTAAAAATATATATGTATATCTCTATGTTATTTTATTAGTGATTTCTTTACAAAGTCTTCAGAATAAAAATATAGTCAGTGTGAGGCCTATAATTGCTAGTCGATTACACAAAACAAAACTGAGCTGGGAACAGCTTTGGCAAAAAATGTGTCATTAAAGAGTGAATCTCCTCATTAAAAAAAACAGAATTAAATAATTGCCTTTTATTTAGGAAAATAGTGACTCTTTTATTTTCCAATCTTAATAATATTTAACTTTCAAAGGGTATCCAGTGTGCAACAATTTAGAGATACTTTTGAAAATCATATGTCAGAGGTACAAGCAATTAGGTAGAATCATAATGAGTTTTCTCTTGATACTATATCTGGAGAGGTCAAGGGGAAGCAAACATATAAAAAACTACAATAATATAAAAAAGCCAAATTCCAACTGCACATGTGCAACTATCAAACAGTGGTAGAGAATGTCTTAATAAATTAATGCTGGAAGTTCTTTGATTCTATTCAAATGTCATATAAAAAAACAAAAGAAAACTTAATTGCCAACTAAGGCATGCTTTAAATGATGTTAGGGAAAGGCACATGATGGTACAGATTCTAATACATAAAAGTGACAATGGGAAAAACAAGAGTAATTCTTTCCTAAAATTGTGTTCCCAATCTCTAGGATAACATAGGGTAGCTGTTTTATTTTTCATAGAGGTACTTGAGTACATTTTTAAGCATGAACAAATTATTATAGTTTTTCCTTCATATTGTCAGCTTTCCTCAGTTGTTACTCTTCTCGTGTTTAAGAAAAAAATACGTATATCTATGGAAGGCATACTAAGAAATTAACATTGTAATAGGCATAACCTTTATATTGTTTTTCTCTCAAGGAATGTGAAAGAAATTATTCATCTTTTCTGAAAATTGGTAGATGAAAAGCGTTTTCACGTTTAAAATGGATATTTAGTTTGGTTGTCAATAGGATTTAGTGGGAGTGAAAAACAGTATTAAATCCATTAGAGCTAGATTTATTTAATGTGATTAAATTTTTGTCACTTGTCTTTTTTATCTACACACAATAGAAAAAAATCCACTAATAAAAAATTAATAGCTACCATTATTGAACACTGTCTTTCTGCTAGAAATCATGTTAATTGCTTCGCATATATCACTTTATGTGTAAATCTACTCCATGAAGTTTATTTTATTGTTCCTTTTTTCCTAAGAAGGAAACTGAAATCAGTTCACAGAACTGATAGTTTTAAAGCAAGTTTTTTTTTAATACAGATTAACCTCCTTGTAAAAGCCTATATAATTTAGTACCACTATTTAGAGATGGGTTTACAGCACCTATAACTATTCTCAATCTACACCAACCTGGAACCAAACAAATGATTCATTAGTTTCAACTTGTCTGACTCTGGGTGAATTGTATTATATAACCAATAATTTACCATGAGGGCTTCTTTTCACATAGTCAACATAACAATTTACAAGAAATTAATGTGGGTGATTAGTCTGGAAACCTAGGTCAAAGGTTATTGAAGAAAATTTATAAAACACAATCATAATAAAACCTATTAATCTCTTTTTATATAAATTCATGGTGTTCTGATTTGAGGTGAGGAGGTTGATAATGGTCAAAGGTGTTTCAGTTATTAATAAATCATCCAGTCCATGGCATCTTTTTGTACCATCAAATCATTTCAGAAATGGTTTTAACTCTATTAGTAATATGAGCAGTGTTACTTTTCTTCATAAGTCACAGGTAGAACGAGAAAAGCAATTCAGAATCATTAATCCATCCTCTCTCTTCTTCCCCTTCAGCTGACTTTGACAGATATTCTTCATGGCCACTTTTCCCTACAAATCAGGAAGAAACCACTTGATATCACCACTGAGATGAAGCAGGTGCTTCTTTTGTATGCTTGACATAGTTTTAGGGTTACTAGAGTACATAATACATCTCACTGTCTAGGTATCATCTCTTTTATTTTTGTAATAGATGACAATCTGACAGTATACTTAATCATAATCTGGTGTTGCATTTTAAAATATTTCAGAAATGTATTTCTCCTCAAAAAGATATTTCATTCCCTATAAAATTATATCTGTCATTAACAAATAGCCAATTAAAGACCTATATCAAATTTTAAAATGATGAAAAAAATAGTTGAGAAAACTTAAGATATTTTAGTATATTTTATGATGATTTAATACATGTGGGGTCATGTGGCATGTGTGTGAGAGTGTGTGTGTGTGTGTGTGTGTGTGTGTGTTTACATGTGTGTGTGAACATTAAAGTTTCTGAATCAGTTGAACAGGTAGAATAAGAACTTTGAATTACTGGTCCAGTCAGATAATCATTTAGCTTGAGAATTAAAGTAAAATACCTATCTATCCAGTCAACCAGTCCTAAAATATTGACTAGAGTAAATCAATACAGAGTTAGACATACTTGGAACTCAAGGATATAGAATAGGCATAATTAAGAAAATAGTTATGATAGTGCTAATTCAGCAGCTCTATACTTTCCACCTTAGAAAGTTTTTATTTTATATATATATTTTTTTTTTTTCAAGTAAAAGACCCCCTTCCCTCCCAACCCCATTTGATCAGGTAATAGGTTTTGGCTTAGTATGGATGAGGTTCTGATGCACTTTTATAAAAGTGAAAAGGAGGTCAGCTTGTCAATAAATACAAGGCAGGCAAATAACTCAGAACCATGACTAAACCTAATTTCTTGGACTCTGGTTTCCACAGCAATGAGTAGAAAAATTGATCCAACTAGTGTGGCACAGCGACACCAACCACTACTCTGCCAGGCACTCAGAGGACTTCACAGCAAACACACCTTCATCCCATCACCACTGAAGAAAGGACAGCACCTCCTTCCTGCCTGTACCATGTTATAAAGGCGGGGTAAGAACTAACAAAATGAGAAAGGCAGTAAAGGGAAGGAGGCAGCCACATTCATCCAGCTGGTGTAACACTTACAGATAAATCCTGTTGTAAAATTAACAGAAAATGATATTTATCACAAGAGCATGCTACAACTATGAAGTATCATAATCGCCACCCTTGTTGAAAGTATAGTAATGTCTTATTTGTTGGCTTCTTTTCTAAAGCCAAGGTGTATCAGACAGTTTGCTGTTTGAAGACAGGTACTGAGTTTAAAATAAGAAGTTTCTGGGCATCATATCCCACATCTATCTTAACTTTAACTGTGTACTTCTCAGAGAAATAATGATTTTGGGTCCAGTTCACAAACTAGACCTGATGTTGAACTCTACACGGAATATACATGGCTGTACTTTAAGCCTAACAAAACACTACTACTTAAATTTTGCCTAAACTCTTCCCTTCCCTAAAATTCCTCTAATAACTTCCTTCCTTCTTTTCTTTCTTTCATTCTTACTTTTGGGGGTCAGATAATCCACAGCTCTTCTGGTGTTCAGTCTCCCTCACTGTAATGGGCCTATACTTTACATAGTTGAGTTACAGATTTATTTGATAAAACCCACTACACTTTCATCATAAAAACTCTTAACTTGTACAATTAAGAAGTTAATTACCCCAAACTGATAAAAGGAATCTATGAAAAACC